TACAGAAAGTACTAAAGTATTTTACCCATTACTTTCTGTGAAGTAGCCGAGGATCATGGGAGTTGTTGTCTTTACCACCACTATGCTAACAGGTGCTAGCTGGCTGCAATTTAAACTAGATTATGATGTCACTGCTCTTTAATATAAAATGTACCTTTTTTTAAAACAACCAGAAGATACAATGATGGAAGCAAAAAATCAAAAGGGAGATAAAAAGACAGAACTAGAGACGTGATGAAGGTAGAACTGGGTAATATATAATATATAAATTATCTACTGAATAACATACTGATGATTAAATGTTTTTTGATGCACTCTACTGTTAATGGACAGTTGAATACTGTAGATTTGTCTTTGTTTTAATGTACTTATGGCAATTCTATACATTATGTTGTAGTTATTGTAAATGAAACCACAACAATGTTTTAATGGTAAATTACTCTCGTTTGTGACAAAGTAACAAAGAAATGGGCTAAATTCACAGGAAGGTACTTTTTAAATGTATTTTAACACAATATGTTTTCCAGTGGTTTAATAAACATTAACAGTATATACAGTCATTTTAAATACATTTAAAATGACTGTATATACTCTCATTATTATTCTGGATGTTTACTCTGATTATTTACTGTTTATTATACATCATTTTATGGTTATTTGCTGTATTTTGACAGCATCCGTCTGGAAACTTTACTACTAGTGTTTTTACCGTTTATTTCATTTTTTACAGCCTCCTTTCTTAAAATGTGTTTCATCTGTAATCGGCTCATATCAAATGAGCTGACAACAGCTTTCTCCAAACTCAAAACCCATTTAGTCCGACTGTCCAATCATCAGACTGTCCAATCATCATTCTGTCCAATCATCATTCTGTCCAATCACCAGACCGTCCAATCACCAGACCGTCCAATCATCATTCTGTCCAATCATCATTCTGTCCAATCACCAGACCGTCCAATCACCAGACCGTCCAATCATCATTCTGTCCAATCATCATTCTGTCCAATCATCAGGCTGTCCAATCACCAGACTGTCTAATCATCAGGCAGCTGAACCCCCCTCCCTCCTCTGCTCCTTCAGATTCAGCCACACTGAACAGCTCAAAGTGAAAACATCATCAACGGAGCACAAACAGTAAATCTGAAATAGCCCATTAGAGCCATTAAAGTTAGTTACAAGGTGTTTGTTGCTGTGACGATGGTGAGCGTCTTCCTGAGGATGATGATGACTTTAACTCGACCAAAAGAAATAATGAAGCAGACGAGGAAGATGATCTACAGCAAACCTCCCAGAAACAAGATTGGAGCCGCAGTGAGTGTCTGTCTGTCTGTCCTTCTGTCTGTCTCTCTCTCTCTGTCTGTCTCTTATCTGTCTTTTTTACTTTGTCTGTTTGTCTCTATATCTGTCTATCCTTCTGTCTGTCTCAATGTGTCTTTGTCTCTCTTTATCTGTCCGTCTGTCTGTCCTTCTGTCAGTCTGTCTGTCTCTCTGTGTCTTTATCTGTCCGTCTGTCTGTCCTTCTGTCAGTCTGTCTGTCTCTCTGTGTCTTTATCTGTCTGTCTGTCCGTGTCTTTATCTGTCTGTCTGTCCGTGTCTCCGCCTGCCTGTCTCTCTGTGTCTTTGTCTGCCTGTCTTTGTCTTCCTGTCTGTCTCTCTGTGTCTTTATCTATGTGTCTGTCTGTCTGTCTCCCTTTGTCTTTATCTGTGTCTGTCTGTGTCTTTATCTGTGTGTCTGTCTGTCTGTCCCTTGATTTATTTCAGCTCTTTGCCAGGACAGAAACTTACTGTGTTGCTGTTTGTTTGGCTTTTGTGAACAATTGGTTTCCCCGTCAATTCGATTGATCAAGATGAAGGATGATGTAATTGCTTGTTTGTGGACTTTAGTTTGTTGAGCCCACAGCCCATGTTAATAATGTTCATTATGTTCATTATGTTCATAATGTTAATTATGTTCATACATTCATTATGTTCATGATGTTCATATGTTAATGTTAATTATGTTCAAAATGTTCATTATATTCATAATGTTAATTATGTTCAAAATGTTCATTATATTCATAATGTTAATTATGTTCATGATGTTAATTATGTTAATTATGTTCAAAATGTTAATTACGTTCATAATGTTCATCATACGTTCATAACACTACTGAGTAAAAGTGGTTTATCAATACAGATTTATTGATGGAAAGTGTTGCTCCAACAGGTTTACGTCATGAATATGGATGAATTATGTCACATTCATTTTAGATTCATCAATAATCATGCATAATGAACACTTATTATTGTTATTGATGATCTAGTTCCAGTTTCCCTCCTGATGATGTCATGTGATTTATTTTTTTTTTTTGTCTCTCACAGCAAAGTTTCTTGGTCATGTCACTGTTTGCAGTGGCCATGTTGACTCCAGCTGCCTGGGTCCTTCATCACCTGCCACAGTACCGCCAGCAGTCCAAAGAGACGCCTAGAGACTGATCCTTATCTTCTTCATCCTCCTCTTCCTCACCATATCAATATATTCTATACTGTAATCAATAAATGTGTCACATTTGATCATCATTATTAAACTTGGATAATTAAACAAAGTGACCTTTCTTATTTTATTGTGTTCTATGATCAAAATGTGTATTGACACCTGAAGAACAGAGTTGTCCTTTCCAAAATAAGAGCAGCCTATTTCTCTCCTTGTGGTATTTTATTATGTTAAAACAACATCCAGCACGTAGTCTGCTTCTCTCTCTGCTTCAAAACATCACACATGAACTTGTTCTGAAGTTTGTACAAACAGGAAGTGTTTGAAGATAAAATAAAGCTTCAGTTTGTGTTTGTTTAGTTTGTTCTGCTGGATTGAACGTTAGTCACTTCCTGTTTGAGAACATCAGTTCCCACAGAGAAGATGTAATTAAACCTGAGAGCAAAGAGGACAGACATCCTCATCACCATCTTCATTATTCCTAATCAAAAAGTTCAAAAACACCAATCCGTGACTTTAAGTTAACAATTACAATAAAATCATCAGCTCTACCCCCACTAATTCGATTGGCACCATCCCCGAGCTTCTAGGACCTTCGGAAGGGTTAGTTCAGGGATTTGGACCCATTTTTAAATGGGTTAAGGTCAGATAACTTTTCTTTGGGAGGTCGTAGGCACTTGGCCTCTTCCGGAAAAATAAAGGGGAGTGTGACACGGGTTAAGGTTAGCTAATAGCAAGGAACCATCAACATAATCTGTCCACTGTCCATCATTACCTCACACCACGAAGCTCTTATCTCTCATTAAGGCCTTTGGGATGTGTGGTATCGTCTGGATATCCAAATCCTTTCCGCCCTCTTTCTTTGGGGTGTATTTCATTTAGGATTACACAGAATGACTGGTGTTAGAACAGATTTCCAGCCATGTTGGGGGAAATGTTTCACTAAGGGAGTGAGTACCTTTTTCTTATTTAATATATTATATTTATGTTGGGTAAATCAAATTGAAATTGTGTTGCCGGTTTCACCCAAATATTGCAAGCCACACTGTTTACATGTAATTAAATATATGCAGTTTTTAGATTTCGGACTGCCACGTGTCATTGTATGGAAGACCTCCTTCGTGTATTGATTATTAAACCAGTTGCAGTGTTGAAAATATTCACCCTGTCCTCTGGATTTAAGATTAGAAAGGGGTTTTAATTTTGCTTTCACCAGGAGGTCCTTTAAATTCTTATTTCTCCTGAATGCTGCAATAATACTGTGGTGCTGTAATAATGAGGTACCTGTAATATACTTGTGAAAGTTATTCCCAATCACTCTGAGAAGTTTAACAGTAGACGGGGAATATGTGGTTACAAAAGGGAGGTTAGAGGTCACCACAGTAGGTTTAGTTTGCTGAAATGTCCTGTGACATTTTCTAAGGAAGGCCCTAGAGTACCTTCTGCTGGCCAAAGCTAGGAATAGCACTCTAACTGCAGAATTAAAGTCAGAATCTGAATCAGCTTTTTTGGCCATATACGCTTACGCATACAAGGAATTTGACTCTGGTTTTCCATTGCTCTCTACGTACATACACAGAATTTACAATAAGTCCACAAACAGAACCCTTGCATATGTCCCTGGGGAGTCGAGGTGTTGCAGCATGTAGTGCAGTCCCATGTTGACTGCATCATCCACCGACCTGTTTGCACGGTAGGCAAACTGCAGGGGGTCCAGCAGGGGTCCTGTGATGTTCTTCAGATGGGTCAACACCAGTCTCTCAAAGGATTTCATGACCACAGACGTCAGGGCGACGGGCCTGTAGTCATTTAATCCTGTGATGGATGATTTCTTGGGGACCGGGATGATTGTGGAGCGTTTGAAGCATGAGGGGACTTCACACAGCTCCAGTGATCGGTTGAAGATCTGCGTGAAGATGGGGGCCAGCTGGTCAACACAGACTTTCAGGCAGGAGGGGGACACACCGAGTCCTCCCTTTTACTGCAGATTCTATGGAATCTCAATAACTGTGACTCAATCAAGCCTGCATAAGTGTGTTTTGGATGGAAACTTGTCTCATAGAGCAGAGCGTGAGTGTCTGTGTCTTTAAAGAACTCTTTTATATCCAGTGTGTGAGTTTCATGGAACCCGTCACCCTTAAAAGTGGTGGTGTCCAGAAAGTCCACAGAGGTCACATTGCTGGTGGATTTGAGCTTACTTGAGTCACTGTGATTGTTCAGAGTGTTTAGAAACACCCCCCAGATGTCATCTAGAAACCTGTAATAATATAAGGGTTTCTTTGGACAGCAGGTCAGGTGTCATAATATAGTATGTCGACAAAGGTCATAGTATAGTAGGTCAAAAAAAAGTAATAAATACCTTTCAGTGCTCAAGGAATATAATATTCGGCCAGTGCCCCTATCAGAGTCATCATGGCTAAGAATATCAGAGCGCATAAGAACAACTTAGACAGCAATGAATGTATCTTCTCTGTTCTGTTTCTCGTCGCAGTGGAGAGATCGGCAAGACATCTCGGGCTGTTGTAAATGAATTGTTCATTAATTATGACCGTTTTCAGCATGTACATGTTCTTGGATGTGTTGTTAATATACAGTGCTTTTACCCACTATAGAGAAAATTGTGCTGTACGTTGCCCATGAACCAAAATCACAACCAGAAAAACAACGTGAATTTTGATAGATGGAGCAGATGAAAGAGAGAGATAGAGGATGTTCTTTTCTCATATTTTGGGTGTCCATGGACACGCTTATGTTGAAAAACCATTTGCAAAATATGTAAAAGTGGTGGATTTTTACCACAAGAAACAGTTCTAAAATTCATCAAGGAAATATTCAGATTGAAGCTGCAGTTATTTTCTTGTGTTGCCATGAAAACAAATCAAAATGTCATTACTTCTCATTAATATGTGATTATATCTACATTATCAAATTCATTTGCCCAGAATGGAAGCTAGCAGAGGTCAGTGTGTGTAATTATCCTGATCCTCAACTTTTACAGTTAGTCTATTGCGACATGCGGCCCAACTCTGTGAAATAAACCAATAAATCAAAAGAAAGACCTGACAAATTCTCTTTCCATTTTTATATTTATTGCTTTTAATTACAGAAAAAGAACATCAATATGTTGCATAAAATCCAAATTCCGCTGTAAAAATAGATTTGACCTTCAGAGTACAGGCAGCAGAGGGAGCACCCCTCAAATGTAAAAATAGGGTCAAACCATCACAGTCAACACAACTACACTCCAAATAAATACTGGACTTCCCTCCGGTCCACATTTGCTAACTGCTTGTGATTGATGGATACAGAAGTCTGCAAGACCTTCTGATCCACTTCCAGTGTCCAATGAAAAGTGGAGCGTTCTGGGAAAGTTTGTGACATAAACAGAAGCTCAAAGAGGAAGTGGAGACACTCCCATCTAACAGCAGAGTGTTTGAGTGCATCAAATATCTCATAATCTCCTCTACTGGCAGCTCCTGCCTGTCATTTTAAACATTCAAGAAAATGTGGAAAAAGTGTATGCATAGATTTTAATTTCCCTTATGCAATGACAGTAGCTGATGGCAGACGGGAACACAAAAAAAGCAGAGCGCCCACAAAGCCCTGAAAACTCCCGACACACACACTCCCCCTGACCAGGAACCACACGGCTGGATACCACGATGCTGAGGAAATGTTGAAATGGCACAATAATGAGAAACCACAATAAACAAGTGGGAGCGTCGCTGAGGAGAATGGGAATCCTTATGGTGTCAAACAAACTGACTGTACACACTCTATCACAGGCTCAATGTTATCTTGAGAACCGTTACCACGGAAGTGTTCAATATAAATACATAAAAGATAAACATGAATTGTGTAAAATATTTATACAAACCAGTTAAATTTCAATTTGTAATTAATTTTGATCATTTGCTTTTCATAAAATCAAAGCTTGTCTTAAATGATTTCACCAACTGTGTTTCCTGTATAATTGATTGAACACTACACTTTGGGTCTCCGTGTTCTCAAACACTGCATTTGTCATAAAAGAGCCTGAGGCTTCATAACAAGTGAAACGTTACAGTATGGTGCTGCCAGATGCAGCGTGTTTATTCACACGAGTGATCTCAGTTCAGAATGTTATCAGGTTAGTCAGACATCGACAGTTCTGTGACAGAGAACACAACCACACACTGACACTTCAGGTTCATTAACAAGTCAGTCATCGGTGCACAGTGACATTGCGCTCTTGTGTAAGCTTGGAACAGAAGCAGCTGTGAACGAGGCCATCTGGACATGAACTACAAACGGACGGTGTTAACATATCAACAGGGCTGAGCAGCAGTGATCATTTCTCTGTAGAAAGGTTTGCATCAGTCTGTAGAACTTCAGCTATGCCGTACATTTCTGTCAACCCTTGAAGAAGGAATCCACAGAGTAGTTTCATGCTGGCTCCACCCACAAAAGCAACTGCTGACATTTCTGTACTCGTCCTACATTTAAACAATGTAAGCCTGACATTCTAAATGCAGGTTTTTACTAGACTAGGATCAGGTTTCCTCTTCTGTGGCATTTATATCTGTAGTGTAATTAAGACCGTTTCACACCTGAAGTACTAAACGACACTAAGCACTCACAGTACTGTATCAGCTGATTGTTGTTGCTGTTTCGTGGTAATGAGTGAATCCTTACATCTGCTCGGTTGTGCAGACTTTTTAGTGCACTTGTGTTTCCTGCTTCACTATAGTGCATTTCACCAAGTATAACCATTTTAAAAATGACAAAAAACAAATGAAATAATAAAAAGCATCAATGCATAAGACCACACAGATTCCTTCAATGAGAAAACATTACAACAAAAAAGAGTAACAACCAACATAGAATCCATTTTGCCAACATTACTTTTTTGATTTCATATTTGAAAACAGTTGTACAATTCTCTCCGACACTAAAATGCTCAGTGAGCAGTAATAATGAGGGAGAAGAATAAATATGCTGTTTTAGAAATATAGAATAGTGTTTAAGAACTTTTTTTCAGCCGAGACTCGTCTGCACTTTAAGGTAAAAACAAAAACAATCCTCAGAATCTCTTCCTAATAATTAAATAATAAGTTATTCATGTCCAGCCCTCAGTGCAAAAATATCAAAGACAAACTAAAAGGAAAGGGACTGAGAACAAGACCTCCCCAGGCTGTGTCCACTGAGCCTTCACAGGTCACTTTCTTTTTAAGAATATTTTTTTCCTGAAGTACACAGAAGATCAGTGCACTGGTCACACAGCGGCGGCGGGGCAGACAGACGACAATCACCGCAAGACCAGAGGAACTCCTCTTCGTCCTTTCTTCTTCTTCTTCAGTCGGCATTGTCAAGTACATCTGAAATTTGGGAGGCTGCGTACTTTAACCGGAAGCCACCTGCGGGGTCAACACCAACACACAAGCAACCACATGCACACATGAAGAGATGCGTCCAAACACACACAGGATATACAATCAGTGGACAGAACATGAACAGTGTGAACATTATGAAGGCCTTTGTTCTAAGTTCACCTCATTCCAGCTACTGAAAATATGAAGTGAGTGACCGGTACCTGCCTGACAGTCACTAGTCTGCCATTACTTCTCAATGAGCGAGCTGCAGTCTGCTCCTGATGTTAACATGACTTCACTTAGCTTAGGGGAGAAGCTCTGTGCAGAGAGGCCACCTTTGTGTGACTGGCCCAATGGTGTTTTCAAGCATTGCTGCCACTTGTGCCCAATAGAAGCAGAAGAAACATCACAAAAGAACATTTACAGGGGGCAGTGATGAGCCCATTACCACTTGACAAAGACTAGGGGAGATTTATGCCGTCAACAGCAGCTTTTGTTTTTTTACATGAGAAAAGATTTAATGGAGGATTAAGTGCAGAAAAGAGCCGCTTGCCTAAACTATCTGAAACTGTCCCTGATGGCTATGCGTGTTTGCTGTTTGCCATGTTTTTCCTTCTCTGGCTCACAGGTGTCCTGGAAGATAACCAGTATTTTGTTGCTGTTATTTGATGCAATGTTAATGTTCCAGTGGCACAACTTCTCCTCTGGCCAAATAACCCAAACGGAAGGAGGTAACTCATCAGAGGTGACATTTAACAGATGAGCCCCAAATCTTCAGTCTTGGCTAAATGTTGGACTCTGCTGAACACTAAGGGGTCCTCTGTTTCTCCCTGTTCCGTGTCGCTGCACTACCTTGCTGTGTGGAGTCTATGGAGGGTTGGTTGCAGTCCTGAGCGTAGTGGCCACTCACTCCACAGTTATAACAGGACACATTCCCACTCTTCTTGTTGACTCCACCTCCCCCCAGCGCGGCGGACGGCAGCATCCCCAAGGGTGGGTACATATGCTGGTAGACACGCTGGCAGAACGATGCCGCCGGCGCCATCTGCTGCTGGAGGTTGTAGTTTGCAGCTGCGACAGCCGCCACCGCTGCAGCCTGGCTGCCCAACATATGTGACGGCAAGTCGGCGTGGCTGTGAGAGTGACTGTGGAGGGGGCCGTAGGGGGACGGGTGTGCAGGAGGTGGAGCAGTGGGGAAGAAGGGGGGCAGGGTGGCAGCACCGTTGGCCTGGTGAGGAGGCTGGGCCTGGGTGAGGAAACTGTTACTGCACAGGCTTGTGAGCTGGAAGAGAGGCGGTGGAACACTGAACACCTGCCGGGCTGCTGCCATCTGGTGGGAGAAGAATAAGGGTGCACCACTGACACTGTTGGTACCGATGCTGCCTCGGCCACCACAGTTGTTGTGACACCCACAGGTCCCACAGCCCATCGGTTGCTGCTGCTGTTGTGGCTGTAGCGGTGTCGGCTGCTGGGGGGGCAATTGTTGCTGTTGGCTTTGCTGAAAAGCAACCGGGTTGCCAGAGACGACAGAGGCACTGCTGTTGCTGTAGGATGTACAGTCACTGTGTGCCATGCTGCGAGTGAGCGCTGGGCTGGGGCTGGGGGCGGGTCCAGGGGTGTGGGTGGGCACAGCTGGAGGAACAGCTGCTTGCACGTGTCCAGGAGATGGAGCCATTCCAGTGGCCGCAGGTGCTCCTGCAGTGGGTAAAACAGAGGCGGGGACAGGGGGCAGAGTGTAGGGAGAAGGCAGGCCGGATGGTAGTGTTAAGCCGGGGTGCTTGGCATGTAAAGTCTCCACGTGAGGCAGAGAGGAGGCCAGGCCTGAGCCGACACTGGCCGGGTCTTGGCAGGGCAGAGACTGCTGAAGAGGAGAGGAGAAGGATGTCGGGCCAGGAGACATGATACTGATGGCTCTTACAGGAGCCAGGACTGAAGCCTGTGGGGCAGCAGGATTATAACCACTCCCTGAAGCTCCATCAGGGCCACCTTGGCTGTGAGACATAGCTGTTTTGAACCTCTGAACCAGAGGCTGCACAGCAGGACTTCCTGAAGGGTGTAGGCCGACAGGTGGAATCCCAAAGGTTGGGAGGACATCTCTCTTCTCCGGGTCTCCCACAATTCCAGGGCCTAGGACAGCTGGAGGCACTGGGGGCATGTGCATCATCATGGTCCCAGGCGAGGGCTTCCCATCGGGGACGATGCTTTGACTTGGAGGAGGGACCAGTGGAAGTGGAGAGTCAGCAGCCCCGTTACGGAGCACATAGGGCAGAGAGCGCATGACCGACAGAGGGGGGAAATCTGTGCTTGTCTCCGCCTGGGCCTGGTGGACTTTGGAAGACAGAGAGTGGACAGAGACTTCCCCCACCACAGTTGCATCAGTCTCGTGGGCGAAGAACATGTCGGGGCCCCGACCTTTGCTTGAGTCATCAGAGTGGCTGTCTGTATCTAACAGAAACAAGATAAGGTAAGCACACCAACATCCTTGTGACAATAAGAGAAGCATGTAGCACACTGTGGGAATTAATTCCTCAAGTGTACTTTATACATAGAGTACGTGTGTGTGTGGGGGGGGGGGGTTTACCTTTGTTGTTGTCATCCTCACTATCCAGGCTCTCTGGTCCTGGGTGTTGAGGGCTGGATGGAGAGCTGTAGCTTTCTGATGATGTTTCACCAAAGGTATCCGGACCAGAACCTCTATCTGCAACAACATGTGTGTGCTCAACTGCAGAGAAGCCACCAGACATCAGGCTACAGAGCATTTCATGTGAAACTATGTACGTATTTACTATTGTGTACAGCAGTCTGGGGCTGTGTGTCACGGCCTGAACAGCGCTGTTGTGTTCAGTGACACTGAAAAGTTGGATGTTTTAAAAGCCAGTTATTCGATATATCCAACAGACGAGGTTCTGGAAAGATATTGAGGAAAAAAACATCCCTTACAACCTGTGGTCATAAAGTCAAATTATTTAGTCTATGTGTGTAGGAGCGGTTTGATTAGATCAGATACTGTGTTTGAGGAACTTTCTATAGCAGTGGTTTTTAAAGCCTGACACTGTAACCCTACCAATATTCTTCTTTTTGAAGCCTATACTTGTTTACATTTTGTCAAATTGGCACCATTAAAAGAATGCTGAATTAGCAGTTTCTGGTTGCAGTGCACCAGAAACTGCTAATAGCTAACTGCATAGTTCACTGGATTAAAGAAGGAAACTTAAAAACACTATTATTATTTGAGTCCTGAAGATTTGGAATTATGGACCTTTATTCTCGGTGGACATCAGGGATAATAATATCCTCAGAAAGTGTATCTCATCTGTGTTTAGGTTTGACTATAACAAGGAGTGTGATTGTTAACGCAAATTGCGGTAATTCAGCATTATTGTCTTTAAACCGATATCTGCACATGAATGTAGAGTCTGATCTCCATCCTCACGTCTCCAGTTGCTCATTAGACTGTAACCAATGATCGGCGCGGATAGCTGCAGCTACACCAGAGCCCCAGAAACATTAGCCGTTGCCCCCACAGGCCAAGTCCTCTTCACCCCGACAGTCGACGGGTTCTGAGATTGAAAGTACTAAACAGCCTCCATGAGCTGTGTGTCGCTGCAACCAATGACCAGAGGACGAGCATGTGATTCTGTACACGCACACACACGACAACACATTCCACAAGGTCATGGCGTCGCCACAGTAATCTGGCACTTTGTTGTGCAAAAAAAAAAAAAAAAGCAGAATGCAACCAATACGAAGGCTCAGTCTTTAGCTTTCTAATGTCTATTGTGTTGATTTCTACCATCATGCAATCAGCGAGTAATCCTACTTGTTTGGGCAGAATCCCTCAAATATTGTTTTGAGCCTTTGAACAATGACATAGAAGCCGTCCACAGACTCACCTTGCCTCTGAGGGGACAGAGCTAGCACCAACCTGCCGTTAGCTACAAAGGCAGCCCCCTTCCCCTTGTCCCTAGAAAGAGACAGAGATGGGACACAAGGGGACAGAGCAATGTCAACGAGAAAGACAGTACCGACGGACACAAATATGGAATGAGAGGACTAGAGTCACAGTCACTGTCTAGTATCAGGAGTAGGTTTAACAGCAGGGACACTGCACTCTTCTTCTTCTAGTTGACTCAACTACTAGCATCGATACCTGCCGAGTCATACACTTGTGACCTACCTGTCTGTGGGCAGGCCTCTGCTCTTTGTTTTAGTGCACGGGTGGCTCCTCTTCTCAGTGTCCTGCTGCTGTGAGGAGGACAGTGAATCAGAACAGCTTCACAAGTTTCAGCCAAAAGCAAAGAAGACTACTCATGCTGTGGAGAGACACTACAGAGTCACCAACATACCACCAAATAGTTAGACCGGAGGACAGACGCTCGCTTCCTCACAAATGCACAGACAATGGTGAGTAAACAGTAACAAGTCGGAGGTATTAACATGACACTCACATTTTTACAATACAATTGGATAAGTGAAACAACATTACATAACTCCATGTAAAGAACACCATTGTGATCCAGAAATCCCAGAGCGCTGCATCATTGGATGGAGGTACACTATATATCGTTGTATATTTACTCTGTATGTTGTACATTAGGCAGGTTCCTAGACTTATTTCCCTGATGTTAAAACAGAGTCACACACACACACACACACACACACACACACACACACACACACACACACACACACACACACACACACACACCCTTCTCTTGCCACTCTGACGGCCCGCCCGATAACTGCATATTTGTGTTATGCACACAACTGCCCTGTAACGATGAGTATTAATGTGATATCTCATCAGAAAGCTACGGTTCTTGTAATTCGATTTCTGCAAACCATTTCAAGATACAATAACAACAGCAGGTACAGTTAACGTCTCTGTCAAACAAGCACTCCAAAAATAGCCGATAAAATATCGCCGTGACTCACCGATTATGATTCATAACGTCCCCCTCATGCATGCTAGTCCAGCAAAAACGGTCGTGCTAGGTAGCTAAGTGTCCACACGATCGAATCCAGTAAAAGATTTAGTCCAAAACACATTAGTACGTCCATAAAGACCCACGGGGGGCTGTTGCATCATTTCAAATTAGCCAGCAGATACGATAACTCGCGATCATATTTCGGGCATAACTTCACGTTCCGTGTCAACAGAGCGGAGATTTTCATCACAAAATGGAGCCTACATTCCGCCAGTTAGATTGACACCTCATTTGACCCAATAGGAGCTTCTATAGCCCGGCCACAGTCTGGAACATCCAACGAGAGTCCGCTTTGAAAGACAATGCCCGCCTCACTTCTTTGGGTATAGCTCGAGCCAATCGCAACAGATCCTGTTCAAACTCAGGCTCCACATAGCCAATGAAATTACGAAGCCAGAGATATGCAGATTTATCAGATTGAATGCTGGGAAAGTTTTCTAACCTGAACTGGAAACCATGAGTCAAGTTCTTGGGACAGAGTGTGAAGACCAAAGTCTGGTTCATAAGAATTTTTAAGAATCTGTGAAATTTGATAATGGTTAAATATGATATAGTTAACCATACATTGACATAAATAAACTGTAGTTTGAAATTCGAACACGTGGTTTAACGTAGTATATGCATTTTTACGTGGTGAGGAGCCTCCAAATGCTTTTTTACTCAGCCGCACTCTTAGTAAACCACGTGTAAAACATAGATTTTCTGTCGTATTTTTATCTTATATTAGGCGTCATGACTGTTGGCTGTCGAATGAGAGTCTTTTCAAGACTGTAAGTCCCAGCCATAGATAGCTGCCATCTGTTGGCCAAAACAAATCTAGGCGGAAGTAAAATGCTTCTCCTTCACTGTGCTGAAAACGCCATAGCTCAATGCTAATAGCACTTACGGTGATTCTGACCGTTTGCGAAGAAACTTCAGAGTGTTACCTTTCAATAGAAACTAAAACCATACATGTACTCCCAATGGTTCAATAAGAGCTGTCAGTTTACTTTGGGTATGCGGTTGATAGGTGTTTTAGGCAAATTATGCAGGAGTGGGAAGAGGTTAAAAGTATCAATTATTTCTCTTGAGCTTCTTCCTTTGTCATTAGAACATCTGTAGAAGTGTTATTATGACCAGAACACCTGTACAGAGTATGTAAATGTCCGTGTAACATATGGAAGCGATCATCCATGTGTTTCAGTATGTTCAAGTACTGCAGATAAAGAGAAGGAACCATGTTTCACCTGCTCAGCCTCCTGGCCGCTCCTCTTCCTCCTCTCTGCTGGACCATTGAGCTCTGCAGCGTGGCCCCCCCTGCGACAATCCCCCTGGGGGCCCCTGGCACTAGAGAGACTGGTGGAGAGTAGAGCATTTATCATAAAAAATGTAGTCTCAGCATGTTTCGCTGCTATAGATGAAATTATTTTGCTGATTTTAAACGCTGTGATCAATATTTCTTCAATAAAAACTCCAAATCAATGAGTCCTGTAGTGTAAACGTTTTGTACCGTCTACTCACCTTTGACTTGGACTCTTGGTCCCAAGCTTTTTCTTGTGTCCCTGAGTGTACGACTCGATATCTGAGAGGACATTCAACACAACACCATTCCACCATATACAAAGACCACATGTGATGTAGATGCTGTTTACATGATATCTTACTGTGAAAGTTTGATGAACCGTGTCAAATTATTATTATCAAGATATAGAAAGTGTGAGCTGCTACTACTAAACCCAAAGCCCCCTTAAACGTCAACACAAGACGTGCTACAGCATACTTGCATTATGGTGTGGTCAAGGCATATTTTAACACTACATTCATACATTTAACTACATGGAAATGAAACTAACTGTTAAAGAAAGCAGAGATATCTTTTCAAATCAAGTCAAGTGTCCTTTTTCTTATTATTCCTATTATTTCTAATATGAAAGGTGACATAAACAGGAAGTATATTCATAAATAAAGAACTGAAGTTTGACTGAACCACTCTGTTACATCAGCATGCTTTATGGATATAGCTGCTTCCAGAGCACACAGTTTCTAAAGCGAGACACCAGCACAAAGCGTTGGAATAGTTAGGTGTTATTAGGAGGCTTATTTCATTTAGTTAGTGCTTTCACGCTTTGTGCTAACTAAGCATAACATGGCGCTGACCTCTCTGTACTGTAAACATGATATAATCCTAAATTCAGAGCAAAGGTCGGCGTACAACTACACTTTACATTTCTTCTTAAACTCCTTCGACTCTAAAGGACTCCCCACCTTATAACTGCTATAAAAAGATTATATATATACACACACACACATCTAAATATTAAGTTATACAAGGTAAACCACTTAACCAACATCAATACTGGTCATAACGACCAAATATTCCTTCATTCTCCTTAAAATGCCAGTTTATTTACAGAATTTAATTCATTTCTAACATGATGAAAGAGCCACAAATGCCCCTCGTGAGGCACACGGGTTACAGACGACAGTCAGACTTTCTATTGGCCATTTTCTGAAGGTTAAAGGGAGGTACTTTTAAAGCAGTAGAACATCATGTGACCAGGCCACTACAGCTGATTATAGAATATAATATCCATGCTCTCATGACCTGTGTTTGTCCTGCTCGCAGCATGCCACTTCTACTGTCCACAGAGGACAACACATGAGTGTGGGAGACGAGTTGAACAATGAGATAAATTAATCCAGCTCTTCTCACCTTCCTCCTGACTGGAGGCATCAGAACAGTCTCCTTGGTAGGCTTTACCCAGCTGGCTGTTGCCTTTCAGAGGAAAAGACAGTAATCATACAATGTGCCTCTTGATACTGGGCTGTTAATAAAATTGGCTTGACATTTTGGACACATTAGTTCATGGACATGGTCTGTCTATCTGTCTACTGACAGATGTGGAGAGTATCTGGTACTTGGTATTTATTGTGGCATCACCTCTGTAGAGGGTGGAGTTAAAACACTGCAGACCACTGATTGGTCAGAGAACAGACACCAGAATTGTCACATTTGCCCGACACGCTGTCACGTGTCCTGCACAAACCCACCATTATTAAATAGCCACGCTTCGGTCAACAGTAACAGCATTAAAGATGAAAGGATCCAGCCAGAGGTGTGTCGTGTTCAAGATGTCACGGTAGTCTCGCTCAACGGCGTCAGCTAAGAACCCGGCCCTACGTTGACTATCTGCAGCGGAAACATCTGGATATGTACCTGGTACTCAAAGTGAGTCCAGTAGAGTGGAGCTGTACCATTCAGTCGGATACTCACATCTGCAGCAAGGAGGACTTGTAGAGTAACTGGAGTCACAATTGAAGAAGCTGCAGACCTTTCTGGTCTGTCTGAAGACTGGAGGAGCAGTCAGGAACCTCTCCCTGAAGGCAGACCGAGAAGAAGGGAAACCCCGTTAAAGAGCTACAATCATACGTGTTCGGCGGCCGAGCAGAGCTCAGAGATACGAGTTTGTTTGTGTTGCAGGTCTCTTGTAGGCGGAGTCCATCAGTGCAGCAGTCAATCTGATTGGATGGCTTCGGCTATGTTCATAATTTAGGTTTTACACTTTACAACACCCTTCATTCAGCACGCAACCACTCATCTGTCTGCTGACACAACGGTGAACACATTCCATAGCCTCAGTATATCTTTGGGATATTATTTGTTCAGTAATAAACCTGTACACGTTCACATGCCTTACGACATGACACGATGAAATCATTTTCCATCCAAACAGTTTTCTTGTGACTCAAAGGGCGTGACTGAAATGTGCATGAGAGATTTTTTTAGGTTCAAAAAGGACAAATTTGATTTGAATTCTTTGTTAACACATAGATTTGTTTTTGTATGTATAAAGAGGAATCACTTCATAATAAAGCCCTTTTCATATAAAACAGCCTTCACAGTGAACAATGGACCTAAAGGTGGTTTGATTGTTCTATGATTGGTGCAGATTAGACCCACAGAGGGCAGCAAAGGCTAATGCAGCTGGTTGTGGGCAGGTCTACTGAGGAAAAGCTCTCAGGAAGATGAGTCTCACTTTCCACAGTTTCGTTTTACCCAAAATAAAACTCATGGACGCCGTGGTGCGTGTGCGTGTTCTCTAGGACAACAAGGAAGTAGCTGGCTTTGAAAATCAGCCTCACCCCTGACACAATGTGTTACGGGCAGGACTGTAAAAATGTCGAGACCTGTTTGAAGGAGATAATCCTAATCGGAGTGAATCTGAACTCCAGAGCAGAGGTCTCCCAGAGGGAGAGACATGAGGCAAAGATATTAAATGAGGAGAAAGGGACAAGAGCATGCTGTTGTTCTGAACAAAACAGGAAGTGAGCTATTGTAGATTGACCTGCTGATCTGGCTTGCTCACCAGTCAGCAGTTGTAGCAGCAGCAGCTTTAAACCCTTTAGATCCCGATAGCTTCAATTGTGTCAAAAAGCTCAGTCCACAGTGTTAACCTCTAGATTAACATTCATTTTTGATCTCGTCCAGTGTTTCCTTGGCATTGCTGCTATTCATACACTCACTACCAATATAGAAGATGTGCATGAATAACACTGACTAGCAGCAGATCTTCTATACTCACAATAATTCCTGTTGTGTGATGACCAAAAGCTCAGTTTCTCTCAACATGCTGCAATCACAGAGGTTATTGTAAATCTTTGGTTCTCCCACATTCACCGGACTGCTTGAAGACCCAGAGAGCCCAGGTCGTGGTTGGTGGGCACAGAAGAGTGTAAAAATGTATTCCAGATGTGCAACATACAGAAAATGATTCTGGGTAAAAGGAGACAGATGTTGACCTGGTATCCTAAGGGAATGACCCGTTGAGACTGCTGCTGCAGTGAGCAATGTGTCCATGTGATCTCATGTGGTGTGGATGCCAAAGAATGAATACCAAGAATTGAAAACCCAAACTCTCCTATTTCAGTCAGTCAATTATAAAAAGGTTGTTTGTGTACAGTTCCATTTTTGTTTGTGAAAATAAATGATGTACACAATACAGTCTAAATAACATAGGGCTGGGCGATAAGGCCAAAATCTCCCATCACGATATATTTCCCGTCTCAATAAGGATATATATCACAATATAGCATGTTTTATGGTAATTCAATAAATCCGATCATTTATAGGAAATAACCAGATGGTAAAGCCTATCTTGTGAGCTCCTGCGCGAATTAAATACTTGACAAATGAAATGTACGGAGTATTCCCTCATTTAATTAAGAATGCTCAGAAGTCTCAAGTGAAATTATAAAGAAAAGATACATTAATAGACAATAGTTTGAGTAGTTTTCTTGAGTAATTTGAGTTCATATGCGCTTGCGATTATCAATTTCGATGAAGTAAACGTGCAGCACGATATCTCCATGTGATTTCATCACAATATGATTCCATTGAAAGGCAATAAATGATCATATGGAATTAAGACATTTTGAGAACACTTTTCTAATACTAAAGCCAGATTCATTATTATAAGATATTAATATCGATCGGTAGAGAGAAATTGTTGTTATCATCCTTGCTATAGCCCCATTAGGTGTATCTCTGGGATAAATGTAGTACCTGAGGTTCTTCTCCACCTCCCTGCTCTCATTGCGGCCCCCCTGGTTCAGAAGCCTCAGGATGCCCTTCTCAAAAGACTCGGTACACTTGTCCTTAGGAAGCTGTGGGAGGAAAACAGGCAGGATGAACCAGTCTGCAGACAGACAGCAATCTCCATCGCTCTTAAACACTACAGAGGTAAGCTAGAGCTGTAGAGGTGTGTGTAAACTTCTCAAGTCTGGTGTCAAATGCAATTCAACTTCACTGGTCTTGAATGAAACCTCAGCATTTTTAGCCTCACCCTGAGGTACTGGCTTCTAGACACTAGAACGTTGTCAAATCCTGACGAGGCTCGAGTCAACAGAGAGAAAGAAATCTCTTCTTTACTGCCATGCACACTACCTTTCTGTTCCCACCCTCTCGACAATCATTCCACGATACAACAGACGGGATGTTGAGATCTGTCGCCAGGTCTTTCTGGCCATATTATTTGGTCTCAATGAGGCAGTAAAATGGGCCATTTTGTCTTGAAAAAAACGTAAACGTCAAGTGAAGTACATCTTTACACTTGAAGCCTATTGTTCTATTTGACTCTCTTAACTATTGTGCGTTGGGCTCGGAGTTAAGCAGTATGTAGGACTTAAACTAGGTTTGTACTCTGGTGTGAGGGGCGAGAAAATTAAGTAATTACAATTTAGAAAAAGAACATTGTGAAATAGAAAAGTCTTTAATTAGATAAACCCTCATACAGTATATACAGTTCAGGACCCTGAACATTGTACCACATGGGGGAGAAAAAAAAAAAAGAAAAAAAAAAAAAAAAAAAAAAAAAAAAAAAAAAAGAAATCGCAGAAGTAGATACCTTCAGAAGGAAGTTCTCCAGCTCCAGATGAGTTTTGGTCACACTGCTGGAGGAGGAGTCGGACCACTTCACCTGAAACACAGCGCAGGACGTTCTCCATCACTCACACAACAATGACACTGCTTGCACTTAACAGTACTATTCATAGAACACTGACTTTACAACACCACACCATGTTGATTTGAGGGATCCATTTTCGGTGGAGTGTTGAAAGGACAGATGTGTACGAGTACTAACAAACACAACAACACCAAAATTAGGAACACTAACAAAACATAACAAGTGCAATGTGAAAAGAAAGAAGCAATCCCTTCCGACCCCATAATCATAGTTATTAGTCACAGCCATCACAGAGGTGCTGACGTTGAGTACTGGTTGAGACTTCAAACAAATGAAAATGATGTGGAACACAGAGGAAAATATCAATCACTTAGAATTGCAATCCCAACTTGGAAAACATGGGTTAGGTACAAGGTTCAGTTATTGTCATGGTCCATGATGATGAGATATGACGCTACAGTAGATTAGGATTCATGCTGAGCAGAGTGGAGGTTGCTTTATGGCGCTGTGCCCGTTACACTAGTTGTCTCTTTGCTTCTTCACTGTACAGTTTGTTTGTTTGGAGAATAATGCAGAGAACGACGTGGTGACTCTTCTTTATAAAGAACACAGGGAGATCCCCAACCCTGCTTTTTACTTTCAAAGGTCAAAAACTGAAGCTTATTAAGATCAATTTCTGATTTACAACCACAATTGTGACACCCTCAATGCATATTCTATCATAACATAATAATATAACAATTTTATTTCTTCAAATACAGTTGTGTGAAAAAGTGTTTGTCCCCTTCCTGATTTCTTATTTTTTTGCATGTTTGTCACACTTAAATGTTTCAGATCATCAAACAAATTTAAATATTAGACAGAGATAACACAAGTAAACACAAAATGCAGTTTTTAAATGAAGGTTTTTATTATTAAGGGAAAAAAAAAAATCCAAACCTACATGGCCCTGTGTGAAAAAGTGATTGCCCCCTAAACCTAATAACTGGTTGGGCCACCCTTAACAGCAACAACTGCAATCAAGCGTTTGCGATAACTGGCAATGAGTCTTTTACAGCGCTGTAGAGGAATTTTGGCCCACTCATCTTTGCAGAATTGTTGTAATTCAGCCACATTGGAGGGTTTTCAAGCATCAACCGCCTTTTTAAGGTCATGCCACAGCATCTCAATCGGATTCAGGTCGGGACTTTGACTAGGCCACTCCAAAGTCTTCATTTTGTTTTTCTTAAGCCATTCAGAGGTGGACTTGCTGGTGTGTTTTGGATCATTGTCCTGCTGCAGAACCCAAGTGCACTTCAGCTTGAGGTCACGAACAGATGGCCGGACATTCTCCTTCAGGATTTTTTGGTAGACAGCAGAATTCATGGTTCCATTTACCACAGCAAGTCTTCCAGGTCCTGAAGCAGCAAAACAGCCCCAGACCATCACACTACCACCACCATATTTTACTGTTGGTATGATGTTCCTTTTCTGAAATGCCGTGTTACTTTTACGCCAGATGTAATGGGACATACACCTTCCGAAAAGTTCAACTTTTGTCTCGTCAGTCCACAGAGTATTTTCCCAAAAGTCTTGGGGATCATCAAGATGTTTTCTGGCAAAACTGAGACGAGCCTTTATGTTCTTTTTGCTCAGCAGTGGTTTTCGTCTTGGAACTCTGCCATGCAGGCCATTTTTGCCCAGTCTCTTTCTTATGGTGGAGTCATGAACACTGACCTTAATTGAGGCAAGTGAGGCCTGCAGTTCTTTGGATGTTGTTCTGGGGTCTTTTGTGACCTCTTGGATGAGTCGTCGCTGCGCTCTTGGGGTAATTTTGGTCGGCCGGCCGCTCCTGGGAAGGTTCACCACTGTTCCATGTTTTCGCCATTTGTGGATAATGGCTCTCACTGTGGTTCGCTGGAGTCCCAAAGCTTTAGAAATGGCTTTGTAACCTTTTCCAGACTGATAGATCTCAATTACTTTGTTTCTCATTTGTTCCTGAATTTCTTTGGATCGCAGCATGATGTCTAGCTTTTGAGGATCTTTTGGTCTACCTCACTTTGTCAGGCAGGTCCTATTTAAGTGATTTCTTGATTGAGAACAAGTTTGGCAGTAATCAGGCCTGGGTGTGGCTAGAGAAATTGAACTCAGCTGTTATCTTTGTCTAATATTTAAATTTGTTTGATGATCTGAAACATTTAAGTGTGACAAACATGCAAAAAAATAAGAAATCAGGAAGGGGTCAAACACTTTTTCACACAACTGTATATATTTTTTTGCATTTTCCAATATTTTCCCAACAATTGGCTGAGGCCCCCTTGAATCCCTCCAATGGGGCCTGGACCCTCCGTTTGTAAATCACTCGTCTAATAATTAACCAGTTAGCACATGCTCAGTTCAGATTCTGAAACACCAATAACATAATAGAGCAGGAGCAAGTATGACTGTGCTGTAAAGGAGGGCCTGTACTTACAGAGTAGGCCTGAACACGGTTTGTGGACCATGTGGAAACCACTGCAGCACATTTTAAATGCACTGAACCGGCCGTCCCCCCGAAGCTGAGAGCACACGCAGGTGTTTTGCAGCAAAGCTTTTGCGTTAGTGTGTTGGTGCGACACATACCGACACTAATCAGTCTGACTGACCTTTAGATCTCATATCACGCTCAAAGAACACCTTGAGTGTGTCTGCACTGCTGTTACCTACCTCAAAGCTGTACTCCTTGTCCATTCTGGTCCGAGAGACGCCCCTGAGCACAATCCCCTCTATATGCACTGCTGCAACAGAGAAGGGGGGGTGTTGAGCAGGACACGAGTAGTGTAGCTATTATTCTATTCTTCTTAGAAAATAACTTCACAAACACAACCAGAGTTATTAGGAATCAGTCCGTACTTTCTACATGTTTAATAAGCAATATTGACAGTGTGATGGGGGTCTTCTGTGTACGTTGCTGTGGCTAGGCATGGGACGATATGAAGATTTCATGTCATGTTTATCCAGGACAAAATAATTGAGATAAACATTATTATCCATAATCCTTTAAAATATGCTGAAAGCTCTTAAAATGCCAATAAAACATACTGGAATAACTTTAAACTTACATTTTGTGAAGAAAGAAATATTTATTTATATTGAAAGCCAAACAAAATTAATAAGTTAAGTTAAATACACTCTTCATAAATAAAGGAAAATTAAATGAATTACATTCTTTCTCAGATAATAAAAAAAAAAAAAAATAAATAAAAAATAAAAAATAAATAAAATAAAATCAGGTTCTATTTTTGCTTCTTTACCATGTGACCTGTGATAATATTTAAGATTAACCTGATAATGAAAGTTGACAAAGTGGATTTTTTTTATTCCATCCTATTTCGTCCCATCCCTAACTGTGGCAGCTTCCAACATGAACAAACATACAGATCCTTACGGGGTCCGGTAAATGAGTAAATCCATGAAGGCAGGTATCTGTCCCCTGCAGTGTCTACTAACACTGCTTAAATCAAGCAGTCCGACGAAGTCAACAAATCAAAATGCTGCCCTGCGCCGTACTACTTCCCTGCTGCAAATGAATATTTTAAATCTTATCACCATCACCTTCTCTTTGTGCGGCCCAGCGGCTGGAGCGCCGGCTCTGGCAGGGCGGATGGGACGCTGTACATTCCCCCAAACCCAGCGCGGGGGCAGGCAGGTAATCCGCCTTCTGACCCGGCAGCACCTGGAGACCAAAAATACAGCAAGTTAGCTCATCCTGGTTTCACCTTTCATTTCAACGCGAGTAGAATTCACACGTTCATATTGAGCCCATCATGGAAACACGCTGCAGAAATGCACCATCCCTTTATGTTTAGCAGAATCTACAGCAGCAGTAACAAACATGTGTTTAAAACTGGAGTAACATTTAGTTCTGGCATCCACAGGGACGAGGATTAAATGACCCAAAGTAAATAATAACTACACAAACACACTTTAGATGTTGAATCGCACAAAACAGTGAACCTCACATGTCAAAGAAACACAAGAGGAAACCTGGAAAACTGACAACAGCGGAGCTACAATGTCCACTTAAACCATACAGACAGTCGGAGAAACAAAGAACCCCCAGGGGCCATCCTCTCACTCTGTCCCTCTGTCTGGGAGCACACTACAGCACTCTAACGTTTCATGTGTGATTCCATTAAGAGCAGTGCATCCCCACCGGGCTCCCAGTGATGTCAACCTCATTGACCCTATAGCAGAGAGATGGTAAATATACTTTATCTCTTTTCATAGTCCTACAAAGAACTTCAACACTACATGTCATCATTCACCCATTCACACACTGAGGGGAGGAGCTACCATGCAAGCTACCACCTGCACATCAGGACTAAACGTTCACACCCATTCCCACACAGCAGGCCGTCTACAGGAGTAACTTGGGGTTAAGTGTCTTGCCGAAGGACACATGGACGCAGACTAGAGGAGCCGGGGATCCGATGGAAGAGAAAGACGACCCATTCTAGCTCTGAGCCACAGCCATTATACAAACTGGGTCTCCGTTTTAAGGTATGCTTACTGTGATAAGTCAGCATCAAACAAGAGGTGGGGAACAGTCCAGCACCAACGCAGGTCTTTTTTTTAGTTAACACTTAACTATTTTCAATCATCGTCTAATTTGCAATTTCTGTAATCTAATCTAATCCTGTACGACTACGGGTTCTGCTGCATATCTCTAGCATGACTTCAGATTAAGAAAGGGATTTTTCTATTCATATGTGTACATACATTTCACAAATGCCATCAGTCAGTCAATCGACAGGAAGCTCCCACCACTTTAGTCAAACCCTGAGGACCCGGCGGCTCAGTCAGTAGTCTGTCCTTTGTCTCAAAGATGTACAGTACTGAGACTTTGTGGTTGTTTCAACAGACTAGAGTGCCTCATTCCAAGCACACATTATGGTGGTCCTCTCCACTGATTAATAACCCCAACTAGAGGAGAGGAAAGTGAAGGAAGCAGTCAGTTGGGAACACGGGATAAGTTTAAGATCTCTATGGACATCAGTTCAAAAGTGATGGAAGAACGCAGACATTGTCTGATAGAGACAAAGATGATGAGGAATACTATGTAGAAATTGACCTTTTGACCTCAAACAGCAACCACCACTGCTGAAAACGGAAGTCCCTTAGAATTCTATTGGTTATTTCAGGTTTTTTTCCTTCAATTCTGTGACATAGAGGTGTGATTGGAATTGGGTTTACAGCTGAGCAGCTAAGTAAGAAAGAGTTCAGTCTAGTAATTCAAGTCACCATTGGCATGGCTGATAACCTTGGTAATCTACTTTATTACTATTGCATAAACAAACAAACAAACAAAGACACAGTTGCACACATTTCACCACTCTAACATCTGATGAACAAAGGACGAGATATTCAGCATAAGCAGCTGCTGTCCTGCTAGGGACAGTGAAACCCTCAGAACCAGTGACATGTCCCACGTGGTTCAAAAGCCACAAGAGACCCAGCACTCCACCAGTACTCCACCAGGCTGCTGCTGCAGGTACAGCACCGAGCAGCTGGGATATGTAGTCCGCAGCTGCAAGCTGTTAGACAACACTGGAGTCCTGGAGGGAGCTTTATGAGGGCGCTGCTTATCATCCAAGCAGCCAATAATGTAACAACAGACTACTTATTATTATTAGCTATGTTCATTTGATTGACTTCAAACTTTACCTAGCTATGCTAACGTGACAGACATGAAGAACACATGTTATGATCTAGCACAGCATGTAATGGCACTACTGTCGCTCTGCTGCTCGTTACCGTTATCTGGCCGTTTATTCGGAGCTGACTTCGACGTCTTTCCTCCTCTATAGCGAGTTCTATTTTGTCGAGCTGTCCTCGGACCATCTCCCGCTGGTGGAAGTGGAAAGCCGGGTGCAGTGAGGCCATGGCGAAGAGCAACGCCAGCTGCTCCAGAGGTCCGGTCGTCGTCTCGGTAGCGGAGAAGCCGCAGGTCTTCTCCGAACTCCCATACACACTCCCGTCCCGACACGGTGGACGGAGCGGGTGGTGGCGCGGCTCCCCGAGCGGAGGTAGGGAGCAGTCATAGTTTTTGTAGAACAAGGCCGGATCTACATGGCTCAGGATCCGAAAGAGTGTTCCAGCACACTCCCTGCTGTCAGACCCGAGGAGGGACAGGCAGACCAGCAGTTTGGACCTCACCACTGGATCGACCACGTCTGTTAAAAGCCCCAAGTCGCTCGGACTATTTGCCCGAAACTCAAAGTCTCTTAAGACGTGGTAATCTTTCCTTGCGAGGTCTTCTAAGTAAGATCCCAAAAAGCGGAGCTCCAGCGGTTGGCACATATGTAGCAGCCCGCACATGAACTCGATCCGCTTAGCGGGTTTTAGATGGAGGCCAAACCACTCAAAGACAGTCTCCTTGTCCAGCTGGCATGGATAGACACCGGGAAGGGGCGACTCATCTAGTCCGTCGGACACCGATGAAGGAGGTGCCGCCCTGGGAACATGTCGGTGCTCCGACAGATCCAATGAGTTGTCTTCGGCCGTTTCGTCGCCTCCTTCCTCGCCCATTTTCATCGGTAGCTTCATCTTCAGCATTATCAGCGCCGCGAGAGAGGCTTCAGACTGTAAATAACGCACGAATATACATCACTGACACCGTTCCGTAATGCTGGAAAAGGAGGCGAGCTGTCAGTCGGTGGATCGTGTTTTTACTCTGAACTAACGCTTGTCATCTGGCGCTGCGATAGTGCTACATGGATGTTTACTGCTTTAGCTTCAGGTTAGCATGGGCGCTTTAGCCCTTTTCCTCAGTTACATTCTTGTTCTACTCCTCATTTCCGGCAGAGTAGCTATATAAGGTTAGCACGTTGCTGCCGCCGTGCGACTGTTGTCGGACTCGCTGTAATTTACAGAAGGCTGTAATATGACTGTTGTCCGCCATCTTTTCTACGTCCTTCTATCTGTTCTAACCAATCCGCGTGACGCTTAACGGCTCGAGTCCCTCACTACGTAACACTGGCATCTACAGTTAATCTTAATTCGATTTCTGACAATAATAATTATAATATTTATTTACATAGCCGCCAATCATACACAAAATGAAGCTAGAATTGCTTCACAATTGAAATGGAGAAAGTAAAGTAAGACATGTTTGATATCTATCTATCAAACAGCAACAACATTTTCTTGTATTTATTTTTTTTTTTAAAGTAAATAATGGGGAGAGAGAGAGAGAGAGAATCAGAGTATCAGAGTTTGTGCCTTAGTGTCCCCTTTTTCTCTTTATATTATTTATTTACGTTTTTTTCTATTTTTCTGCTCTTATTTCTGTATATATTTTTTATTCTCTGCGGTTGCCCCCTGGAATGATAGTTTAAATGTCTGTATTTTTGCCGTTTCTTACTGACAATTTGTGAAATTGTACATGTGCAAATGTTGAATAAAAGAGAAAAAAAAATAAATGGTGTTTTGCTGACTTTCATGGGGCCAACACTGACCTCTAGTGGGAAAGGTGACGATTACAAAGAAAAGAACAGCAGAATGGGTAAATGTGGCTGTCCGATACTGCTTTACCTCCTTTGTGTAGTCGTGTCAGGTGGTGAAACTGGCTACTGATTGCCTCCTATTTCCTGACACCATTTCCAGCTGCTCCCAAAAAACATGAAAAGGCTTCTATAGCATTTGCAAACTCATCTTGTTGCGAGCTGCAGAGACACTTAAAAATATAATGGATACAAAATAAAAATAGATTATTTTAAGAGCATGCACAATAGTAATAACAGGATTAAGGACTATTTGAACACTGATTGTACTTGTCCTGCTACTGAATGACACATGCCAACCTGTTGATGTAATTTTATGTTTGTTTTAAGTCTGTTTTAAAACAGTTTTTAGCTCTTTGCTGTTCTGTTTGTGAGTCTGTTATTTGTGCTTTTATGTGTGAATCTTTTATGCTACTGTCTTGACCAGGACCTCTTTGGAAAATATATTCCAAATCACAATGTGACCATAAAGAATAGATTAAAAAAAATGGATAGCTAAAAGAGGCAGCTTAAACACTCTGTGACAAAACTGCTAGAAGCGATGAAATGTTACATTTTCTGCCTGCATGAATAGGTCAAAACAACACTGTCCCTGCATCCCAGACTGAACCGTATCTCAGCACTGTCCTCCTGGAGCTTATCATAGTCCTTTGTTTCGTCCAGCCTAGTGTGGTCCACTGGGAGAGGAAGTGAAGGTACATTGGAAAAGAAATTTCAGTGCTATTCTTTTGCTGTTTCTTCAAATTGTTTTTATTTACAGAGCTCAGACAAGCCTTAAACTAACACTGACTGAACAGCAACCCTGATCATAAGGGTCTCTGAGAACAACCTCTGCTGCTCCAACAGGGGGCGACGACAGCTCAGGGTTCCTTGTATGAACACTGTCCCAACACTGACAAGCTACATGATAGCATTTAGTGAGAGTGGTGGAATGAAATGATATTTTTAACTACAAGTGCTGTACTAAAGTACATATGTGAGACACCTGTAATTTACATGAGTATTTGCATTAATTTACTTTGAGTCAAAGGTGAATAGTAATGAAGGAACATGACACCCAGTGAGTACAAGTGACAGACCGCATGCATGTTTTCTTATTCTTTCACAATCACTTTTGAACATTAACGGAGCTCTAAGGCACAGAAGAATAAGATATATCATACTTTGGAAACACGTACAATACTTGTTAGGAGGACACATTCATTGTTGGTTTGTGTCTTTTAATGAGGTTTGTTTGACATTAAGAAATTTTAAGAATACTGCCAGCATTATTCTTTAAATTGACCTGGATAATGACCAAGCTCAGGAAGGTTTATTCCATACATGAACTCCCTTTTGTATATGGTTGCTTCTTTCTTCAGAGGCAACAACACAAATCAGAAGATACAAGCAATCAGATGATAATATGGAGGCAACTGCCAAATCAATTCTGCAATTGACAGGATGCAGAGATTTGTCATTTAGATTAAATGTATTCTATTTGCAACCATGACCATTTAATCACTGAGTTTTAATACTTTTGAATCAGTCGAGGCTAAATCGTAGAGTATCACAGAGGTCAAACGTGTCCTACAGATGCTATGTCATCTCCTCCACAGAATTTCTACAACCTGTAATTTAATTAAACTCCTGCACTGCTGTGGTACAAACATGCTGGCTGTTGAACCACAGTGCTGCTCCACATGACCGTATGACTACTATTCCTGTGTGTAATGTTAAATAAATGGCAGATGTTAGCAGTGATTGAAAATGATGAAAATGAGACACTTTCACGCACAAACACTAATGTATTTTCCCACTGTGGTCAGTGGATGTGTGTGTGTGTGTGTGTGTGTGTGTGTGTAAATCCACATTATGTCCGCAGTGGTCTCGGTAGTGTCACATCCTACCCACGATTTATAAAGGCTAGCTTGACACTCCCACCACTCCCTCTGCCAACCAGAGGAGGACTGTCACCTCCCAAGTCAGGACTTCACCCTCTTCACTTTCTCCTCCCAAAGTGGCACTCATCATTTCCTGCCCGGAGCTGACAGAGAAAGGTAAGGCCTGTCATCATTTCTTATCTGCATGTGCTGTTATGAAGAGAGACTTTGGAGGGTATGAGTGTCACCTATGTGATATTAGGTATCTGTACATTATGTACATCACAAAATATGATCTCAGCCTAATCACTATCAAAGGGATTTTGGTCATACTCTTGTCGGTGGTTGTGTGTTACTTTGGTTGTTGTTTCGTTTACTGCTTAATCTGCAGCTGTACATATGATATCTATGCATGCATGTATCACCAGTGTTTCTAGTAGCCTCTTCTAAACTTCATGTTAACGGGGCATTGGTTTAGCAACAAGTGACCGGCTATCAGGACAAAGAGAAGACAAGCTAAATATACAGTATAACTGCATACATCAGCCTATGTGATTATGGGTGAGCGAGGTTGTCTGCCTTCGCGCGAGGCCACATTCTCTCTCTGTTTGTTTTGGCATTTTAAAGCTATGTCTGTAGTCTGAAATAACTCGTCTTCCATTTAAATTACTCCATGTTCAACTACTGAATGAGTTGGAAAGGATGGAGAAGATGTTCAACATTGTCAGTGGAGCTTTTTTTGGTTTAGGACGCATAGTTTCGTCATGCAAAGATCATTTCATCGCTGAATATCAGAAAAGTTCAAAAGTGATCTGTCGTCCAGAGGTTTTACATGACAAGTAATACTCAGAGCAGAATGGGCTCTTTTGAGAAGAGGGCTTAACATGGAGCACTTCAGAGGGTGAATATAGATGTTTTTTGAACATTTAAGCATGTAAACATGCCCTGAAACCAAAAATACAAGTATCGACCTGACAATGTGCATGATATGTCCCGTTTAACAACACATTCTCTCACCAATATGTCAAATAATGCAGCATGTTCAGTGGCACTAAGCTTCACACTACGTCGCTCTACCTACCCCTCTAACGACATACATATATATATATATACACACATATATATATATACACATACATATATATACACATATATATATACACATACATATATACACATACATATATATACACATATATATACACACATATATATATATACACATACATATATATACACACATATACACATATATATACACATATATATATACACATATATATACACATATATATATATATACACATATATATATATATACACATATATATATATATATATATATATATATATATATATA